CTGCAAGTTGAATGTGTGCTCTTTCTCATCGAAATGTGGAACACTTTTCTATTGGCAACTACAGGCTTTGGGAAGAGCAAGGTTGCCGAAATGTACCTCGAAACCTTGTCAAAGGCTGATAATCCAATAGTGATGGTCATGAACCCGCTGGATGCACTAGGCGACAACCAGGTACCATTCATCGTGATCTACCGTGCTTCCTGTGACTGACCACAGATTTCGCGTGATGACTTGTCTTTAGGTCTTTGAAAAAATTGAGGACGGATTCACCGCCGTGAGTCTGACGCAAAAGTCGTTTACTGAGGCCGTGTGCCAAGAGATCCTGGATGGTAGATATCAGTTTGTTTACTTAGTGAGTAAAGTAAACTATGTTTTCCATATAAGGAGAACTATGTCTCTGACCACTTTCCTGTTTCAGAGTCCGGAGATATTTCTCAATAGCGCTCTATTCACAAAGTTGTACTTTAATCCTACATTCCAACGAAGGCTTGCTCTGAAAGTAATCAATGAAGCTCACCTTATATATTGTTGGGGATTAGTGGAAAGCGGTTCATCCAAGAACTTGGCGTGCTTCAAGAATTTTCAAGACAGAGGAGTATTCCGACCGAGTTATGGTAATCTATGTGGTCGATTTCTTGCAACCAATTTTACTCCAATGTTACTCTTGTCAGCTACTTGTCGACCTAAGGCCATGGATGCAATCAAAAGGAATCTACGCCTTGCTTCACAAAACCTTAAAGTCCTAACAGCAGAGTTAGTTTGTCCCGAAATCAGATTGATTCGCATGAATATGAAACACCCGTTGAAAAGTGCCACCGATTTGAATCGGTTTTTCGGACTCGACCGTGTGGTTGCAAATGCTGATCTGCCTCCAACACTAATCTACTCCGGATCTCAAAATGGAACGTGGGAAACACTAAGTGCAGTTCATAAAGCAAGAGGTCAAGAGAATCAATCTTCAGATGGAATGAGTTCCCTCGCGCGTCGCTACCATGCTGCTACAGGAACGGACGACAAATCTGATTGGGCTGAACACTTTGTTAATATGTTATATCCAGTTATATGTTGTACAATGGCTCTGGGGTTGGGTCAAAATTGGAAGATTGTGCGGCGAGTAATTGTAATGGGGCGAATGGAACCTTCTTCGGTTGCACAGATGATTGGAAGATGTGGTCGTGACGGACGGCCTGGTGTTGGAGTGCTCTTAGTAGAAGAGAAGAGGGGCGCAGTAGGCGCAAAGAATCATGTTGATGATTTTGAAAAGCCTAAGAACATGTCCGATGATGATCGGATGGATGCTCTTGCAATCACTCCGGTATGCCTCAGAGTAGCAATGGCGGTTGATAATGTGTAAGTTGCTGAAATCTGTACCTGTCTCTTCACGCCGGGCCTAATGATTATCTGTTCAGTGCGGGTCACATTCCAATATCTTTTGAAGATCAGGATTATATCAAGGAACTGGCTCGTCAGAAACATATGGGTTTTGCACCGTGCCTATGCTCAAATTGTCAACCTGAGTTGGCGCTAGATTTCTTGGACAGACAACATCATGCAAATAACACAAACTTCACGGACATCCTCCTAGGTCGAATGACTGGTACTATCAGTCACGATCTCTGCTGCCCCCCTTCCAACTCGGGTTTTACACTAGACCTCAAATCAATTCTTACTTGCCCTGAAAAAGATAAGATCAGAACAACACCTGTCTTTGGACATCTGGTTAGCAATCTTCTCTCCGACTTCGACAAGTTGTATGATCGCATGAACCCCGATGGGAATTTTCCAATCTGACGCCGCGTGGTTTTCAATGAGGAGCATGCGTGGCTAATAGCTAAAAATGCCGATGTGATCTCTCAAGGTGTTTCTCTTCAAACGATTCTCGGTAGTGAAGCCTTTGATGGTGTATTTAACTGCATCTTGGAGTGCATAACAACCTGGAAGAACTCCTATCTGTATCAATTGAATTCAGCTGATATAGATAATGAGGCTATCAAACAAAGTAGAGCAGCAACTAAAAAACAGGAACAAGCTGTAGCACGAGTACAATCAAAAAGGAATGCTGAAGCGGCTGGTTTAGAAAAGCCCAAACGCAAATCTCGCAACAAGGCTAAACAATCTCGAGGTTCTCAAAAAAACAATGTCCCAAATTTTATAGAAGGACCCTATGTAACTCCAAAATCTTTGACTCCTCAGTTTGTTTCACCCGGACTGCATGAATCAAGCACTCCTGTAAATGCACAGCAAGGTCGAACACCAAACACCCTTGCTATCTCAAACAGAATAAACAACACACGGCCTCCCGATTCGTCTGCTGCATTTCCTTTGAGATATAACCTCTCAAACACTGTCGTTTTGCCCCAGGTACCCGGTTATTTGACAAACCTACACCCTTTACCTCAGACCCCTGCGCCGGAGCCCATCAGAATGAACCGTCTGAATTCTAGCAGTATTTATCGGAATGCTGGAAACAACCCTCCTCTACAAGATATCACGAATTCAAATTGGCCTTTTCAAAGTAGAGAGTATTCTAATAATTTGGGGAGGATTATTCCAAATAGCATGGATAGATCTAATTATTACAATCAGTTTGAAAACAATCACCTACAACAGCTCAGTTCACCCTCTGTTCCAAATCCTATTCGTTCAGCAGCAAACTACCGAGATCTCAATCAAGACTGTTTGCCTGACATCATTTCATCTCAAACACTTCAAACCACGTTACAAGTTTCTAATAATGCAACTTATTCAGCCCCTCCTACATTAGCCCAGCCAAACTTAAGGATGTATCAAACACCAGATACATCAAACCGATCATATTCAAACTATTACCCCAATTCAACTCCTTCACCCACTTTCAAGTCCAAAAATCAAATCTACAACACTCCAGGTCCGTCCATTCACCTTTCAAAGTTCCATCGGGCCACCTAACAAAGTAAAAGAGGTGATCTGGTCGAATGTTGTATTGATCACCTCATACAAAGAATGTGTCAAATGTTTTACCGTTATAACTACTTCATTCCATTCTTTCCTAATTACACACAACACACTTCTTTTTTGGTTCTACTAAGTTCAAAACCTGGTACATTCCGAGAGTCCTTTACAATGGTCCTGGGTGGTTTTGGCACTTATTCTTTATATATATTCTCATCTAACCACGTTACACAACGCTCAGTTTTCATTTCTATCTGGTCTACATTTCCCTTTCCGTACAACCTAACATTACGCTAATTGATGTATTGGCTGATCTGTTGCATGCTAATGAACTTTCACTACACTCTTTACAAAACTTTTGTTCTAACCATCTAACATTTTTCTCAGTCTACCTATCCTTTTGTTGTTCCCCCATGTTATGTATAAATTTTTGACCCTCCCCCCTACACACAACTTTGTCCACACCACCCTGATTCCGCGCCAAAATATGTCAAACAAAGTGGCTGAAGCACAAGCCATAAAAACCATGCAGCGTCTGCCAAAAGGCCAAGCCACAAAGTGGGCACTAAAGTGGGCACTGGGTAATCCTTCCATCCAGGAAGGTATAAGAGGTGTGCTTTTCAGTGCTAGATAACTTGCCACCACCACTGTGCTTTCCATCGACCAAGGCTCTCTTTTAATCATTTGTTTTACCATCATCATGGGGTCTGAGTCGGAAAATACTGGCATTGACCCCTTTGATCCCATCTCTCTTTTGATTGTTTACATCCGCAAGAAGAGGACTCCACCACTGTGCTTTCCATCAACCAAGGCTCTCTCACAGGGGGAAAAATAGAAGCTCACATAGATGTGAGCAGAGAAAGTTTGAAGGTTTCTCGAAGATTGTTCCCAGTTTGTTTACAATTTTCTTCCAATTTTCCTCCAGTTTTCTTTCAGCTCATCATCTGATCAAATGGTCAGCATGGCCTGAGCAGATGAGTTAGGCCTTCCTCAGGCCTTATCCCTAGCCAAGAAGCCTGAGGGAGGGCTAGCTCATCTGCTCAGGTCATGTCGGGCCCTCCAATGCTCAGCCTGCACAGTTGCGGCGAGAGACCCTGCCAAATGTGAAAAACACAATGGGAACCATCCCTTTGGATACTTCTGATCCCAGGAATGCCACTGAGGACTAGGTGAGCAGCCCCTCAGCCAATACTCAGTGACATCCTTTGAGATCCTTTGGATCCTCCTGATCCCAGGAATACCACTCTGTGCTGAACTGAGCATCCCCTCAGCCAATACTGAGTGAGATCCTTTGGATACCTCCAATCCCAGGAATGCCACTTAGGACTAGCTGAGTGGCCCCTCAGCCAATACTCAGTGACATCCTTTGGACCCTTCTGAAGGCGATTCTGAGTATACAGTGATGTGTCAGCTGGGTCCTGAGCACTCATCCATGCTCAAGAGAGGCTCATCCAAGATGAAGATGAGCATGCTTTAGCAAACTCAAGCAATACCTAAGTATTACAGACTGAGAATGTTGGCACCACCAAATGGTGAATTGAAAGAATCTGAAGGAAATTGAACCATTTTTGGAGTTATCAGGAAGGTACCCTCTGCTCACATCTATGTGAGCTTTTATTTTTCCCCCTGTGTCTTTTAATCATTTGTTTTACCATCATCATGGGGTCTGAGTCGGAAAATACTGGCATTGACCCCTTTGATCCCATCTCTCTTTTGATCGTTCACATCCGCAAGAAGAGGACTCCACCACTGTGCTTTCCATCAACCAAGGCTCTCTTTTAATCATTTGTTTTACCATCATCATGGGGTCTGAGTCGGAAAATACTGGCATTGACCCCTTTGATCCCATCTCTCTTTTGATCGTTTACATCCACAAGAAGAGGAATCAATCTTTTGAAACCTTTTGCCTTTGAACTGGAACTTCCAAAGGTGTGGCCTGCTCTGAATCATTTTGAGGCAGGCCCCCTTCAGAAACCAGTTTTTCTCACTTTGATCACTCTCAAATCCAATCTGTTTGCCTTAATAGATGTTCTGTTTGTTTATCACTCATTCTGATCTCAAACTTTCATTCAAAGAGAGTATTCTAAAAATTCGGGGAGGATTATTCCAAATAGCATGGATAGATCTAATTATTACAATCAGTTTGAAAACAATCACCTACAACAGCTCAGTTCACCCTCTGTTCCAAATCTTATTTGTTCAGCAGCAAACTATCTACAACACTCCAGGTCCGTCCATTCACCTTTCAAAGTTCCATCGGGCCACCTAACAAAGTAAACGAGGTGAGCACATTTGTGACATTCACCCTGTGCGACTATAACTAACCTTGTGCATGTTCTTGTTCATTTACAATCGGGTTTTCTCCTTCTGGATGTTCACCAGAAGGAGGACTGTCAGCCGGATTGAGATTATCAAAGTTATCTGCATCCGGTCCTACTTGTGGAATGTCATGAGATAGAGTACTTCCCCAACAAAACCGAGATGATCTCTTATGAGTGTATTTGGATTGAAATATTTCTTGTAATTTAAGGAAACCAGTCTCCATGAGGTTAGGCAGAGGCTCGGGCTGGCCAGCTTGGTTTTCTGAGCCGAAAGTCCTATCAGCTGCTCTTTGAAAAGCTTGCATTGATTTAGGAGTAATGTATATCTTTCGGTTTTGATAAACCTTTTGATAACCCGCCCTAATTCTGATTAGGCTCAGTATTTGCTGGAACTAAATAAAATAATTGTAATAAGGTCAGTGACACTGGTCCACGCTCTAAAGACCAAACAATTCCAATATGTACAAGTTTGATGCATAAAGCATAGTGATCACCTAGCCTCTTGATTTTGGTTCCCGCACCCTATAGTTCAGACAAAAAGATTTATAACCCAAGTAACTAGTTTTGAGTGTTTTGAGAATCAGGTAATGATATGTGAGACCAGTACATACCGCGCGATTGAAAAAATACTTCAACCAAAAGATCATATGTTCCAAATGTAGGTCTTTTGCCTCAAATCTTCCAGATGCTCCTCTTGCAGAAATCAACATCGCACGCTTGATTACATAGGCTAAACCTACAGGAAGATAATGCTCTAGGAGCAAAACAAGACAAGGGATATGTTGAGCGTAGTGTGATAGGCCAGTGTTACCATGTGCCATCACACTCCACCGCTTCCACATCCTTATTAGACGGCCGATGTCACCACTTTTGGCCGCCTGGTCAGCTTCAACATAAGTGGCGAGATCACGAAGGCGAAGGCGTAGGTTGTAACCACAAATATCACCTGCACCCAAAGCACCTTGCAGAGCGTCTTCTGAAAAGTACTCGCGGCTGGTCTGCTCAATTATGCTATTAGCTGTCTCAGTATCCAAAATATTTGGTGGTTCTTTCCGTTTCTTGATGACCTCACTAATAACGTAACAAACACACGTTAGATTGCTTCATGAGCCATCAGAACCAAAAAAAACCTCACCGCATGCACCACACCATCGTGGCGAAGTGTAAATGATATATCATACGCATGATTACACCAAAGTCCTTCTTGATTACTGGGCGATTAGCCTTGTCACCTGTAAGCGCTTCCCATCCTTTTGAAAAAGGTAGATCTTGCGGATCGGTTGATTCACCCCATCCACCCACCATCTGCCACTGCCCAACATTCCACATCGTGTGCGCGGCACCTGGAAGTGTGAGGTAATTAATCATACTTTCATATCTCCGGCCAGCTGGGTGAAGTTTTGATCTATAACTCTCGAGATTTATGCAAGTTCCTACATCACCTTCCACTACCTGTAGATCATCAGGGAAATCTTTCAAAGGGCGCCCAGTTATGTGCCCTACGTGATCCAACACCTGACCAACCCCTTCGGATGAGCCACATGATAGATCCATCAGTGGCAACATCTCAACATCAGCCTTCTCGATTGGAATTGGTTCCAAAGGCGGCGGGATTCGTGAAACGTTAGGAAACACCGGAGGCGTAATTGTGCGGTTTTCAGTCGTGATGTAATCTACATAAGCCTGACCAAGCTGAGCCTTGATTGTTTCCCCAAAGTGTGTACGTTCGGATAGGTTGGGTAAGAAAAACTTAGCATGAACAACCTTCTCTTCGGCATCTCGCATTGCATGAACAAAAGCATCCAATGTTAAATCTTTGGGATCTGCTTCAGATATTAGATTTTTAGACAAAAAGTGCATATAACCATATGTCCCATGGAACATGCGGGAGTTTGATTCGAGTCTGGAATAGTGAATCCGTTCTTGAATATCAAAATTATCAAGTATTAGGAAAGGGCGGATAGGATAGTCACAGGCAACCCGCCGCTTAAGAGAAGCCAGGGCAGCTTTACCCAGTCGGGTTATAGCTCGTAGAGCCGTTCGACGAGAACAACTGAGACCAACAGCGTGTAGATATTGATTGATTCGCTGGCTAACACCACCCGCAAGGAACGCAACCCCATTCTCCAACTGAAGACCATTCACAGAACGGTTGCTTACAAACGCAACCATTGAACACACTGTTGTAGCAGTCTGAATACAATAGGGAATCACATACATATAGTGAAACATCAGCCACCAGTTTGTTCAGCAAATGAGAAAGAGATTAACGCACATTATGAAACCGCAACTTGATCTGATCCATCCAATGACCCCGTTTCACATAAGTCGCCTCTTCCATCAAATCCGCCCAATCATCTTCGTCTTCGTTCCCGCTGTCCGGATGATCCATCTGCTGAGCCTGGCCTGCCTGATCGCTTTCCAAAGATTCTTTTAAGTTAGAATTATCAATAGATAAAGTTGTATAATCTAGTTTGTCTCCTGAATCACTACCGTCTTCTGAACTTGAATCCCTTTTGTAAGCGCCACCTTCTCCGGAAGCAGATGATTGATCCGAAATATCCCCATCCAAAAGATCACCGTGAGCTGGGGCAAACACACTGTCTTCTTTTGACCCTTGATCTGAACCTTCTGAGCCACCCAAAGGTTCTGCATCATCCTCCTTGGCCTCGTCGGACTGAACTTCCGCCTCCTCTGACGCACAAACTTCTGCGCCACCCACTTCGGTTTCCGGACGACCCACCGACAGGCGATGGCGAATCAGTTGGAATAGAAAATCCATTCTGGTTCTGATCTGTTGATGACGTTTCTCAGACGCTTTCATATTGACGAACTTGGCCTTTACAGCATGCGCAGGCACGTGGGGAGGGTAGTGATGACCTCTCCACCGACGCGAAGCTTCTTGGTTGACTATACGCTTAGCCTGTAGAGCATGTTATGTTTAAGATTATCAGAACTCTGTGTGAAACATTCTAAAGCAATACACTCACCTCTGAAAGGATGAACATCTTCCAATAATTTCTTCCGTTGTCCTTTTTCAAAACCAGGGCTTGAATAGCCATCAGGACCCTCAAAGTTGAAGGCCATCCTTTTGGTCCGCCCCAATATCTACGAGAAAACTTTATAACTCCATCTTTGTCGTCATCGGTCAGGTAAGTCTGCACAATTTCCTTGAACGTAAAATGAGACTTTTCCTCTCTCAATTGATTGATTATCGACACGGTGGTTGCGATCATTGCTGGTGTGGACGACATATTTGTTTTTCCGTAAAATTGAGCAATAATTTAAAAGCAAATCAAATCCAATAATGAGGACTTTGGAGCAGATGATAACGAGACCGTAATACATAGGAACCGGGCCATTCCGTATTGGAATCACAAATGAGCAACTGTGTTTCTCTTGCAAAAGTATGCTTCGTATCACCTCGGTGCCAATGGGTGGTGCTTGTCTCACCTCTTTCAGATAGCTCCTAGAGTACAGATACACTATATTGGCACCGTCATAATGTTTAGCTGTCCTCCAGTGTAAGATATTGATTTCCGGAAAGCATCTCAAGTGTTGTTTGCATTCGTCATGCTTTTCAATAGCTCAATAGGCAGGCCAAGGCATATCAAATTGCAGGAAGAGGCTGAGAGGTTGGTTAAGGTTAGTGACGTTAAGGTATGCTTGAACGGAAAAGTTGTTAATAGTGCTGTCCATAATACATAAGCACTTAGCATTCGCAGCAGTTACACGAGCGGCCTACATGTTCCTTATTTCTGAAGCCCAAAACTTTGAGGACAATTTTTTCACGGAGGGGAACAAATTCCTCGGGAAAAAAGTTATGTACAACATGTGCATTACCGTGGCGCACAACTTTTCTCTTTGGACCATACCGGATTCCTCGGTGTGGTCCAAGATAAAGGGGAATGAAGTTTGTTCCCTGCAAAATGCTCAACCCTGAGGTTATGAAGCGTACAACTTTGGCGTAAGTCCCTCGCTCGACGCCTCGCGAGGATGCGCGAGCGTGGGACTTTGTTAAGTTTAGGTTTTTGTCATTATTCCAAGGACATAAAGTTGTTCGCCATGTGGCCATTAAGAGCATCTCCAATGTGGCTGAATCCGAATAGATGTACAGCTCAGTATTTCCCTCGGCTGGACAGCTGTAATTTTTTTCAGGTGACAGCGCCCTGCAACGCACAACTGAACTTCTTTCCCAATTCCTCATAGGGTTCATTTGAGGTTGAACCCCCGTCACCATATGTCTTCATCTACGTAATTGGTCGATCGCACCTATCGCGTTCCACACAATACATGTGATCGATTGCGCTCACCTCACGTAAAGAAAGAGAAAGGTAGTCCACGGATGTATGAATTTCTTTATTTTTGGCCCAATAGTCGTTGGGATACTGGGATTCAGATTATTCGGCCAGGTCAGCAAATTTGCTGACCTGAGCCTGGGAACGTGTCATTTCCGAAAAAACGAGTTCACACGGGAGGTTCCATGTGGGAACACGACCTCGGCGTTGGATGAGGTTTGTCTGAATAACTCCAATACAGGTTACGTTTCTGACAGAAACGTAACATTTAGTCATTCAGATTCGGGAGCATTGGAGATGCTCTAAGAGAGTAGTGTGGTCATCGAGGTATGATCTAACTTGACAAAGTCCCTCGATGCCTCGACAGCTGTCATAGAGCGTGTTGAATGCGCATGACTCGGCATGACGGAGAGATGCGTATTCGACTGAATCGAATGATGGCTGGCGGGGCTTCAGAGCGACTTTGTTAAGTTAGGGTATGATGGAATTTGGAAAGTGATCAATTGTTTGTCTTCAGATACACTGTCAAAATCGTAACTTCAGTTTACCGAGGACGAGGAGTCTTAAATTTTGTGCGCACCATAATCCATTGAATTTGAAATCAATTTTTTTCTCACCTTGTTCAAACAGGTGTGTTCAAAACTCTGGTCACAGGATCAAACTTATCCAAAGCTTGCGAGAAGCAGCGTGGGACTAGGATAGATTTAGCAAAAGATTAAGATCACTAAACTGACAGGCGATAATTCAGGAAATTCCCGGTGTAGGATGCTGCAGAGATGCTGGATGATGTCTGACTTGTCTGACTTCAACGTGCGAAAATGTAGTACTTACTTAAATTCAGTTTGTCGAGGACGAGGTTGGTCGATTCAAATCTTGGAGTACGCGCGCACCACCATCCACAATCCATTGAATGTGAAATCAATTTCCTTTCTCACCTTCTTCTTACATAACTCTGGAGTGGTCACAAAAGATATAAGAAACACCATCCTTGTACCACCTGGAAGCTGGCACCCACTCGCTATCCACATCCTATATACTCCTGGACCGGTTCCTCTCTTCAAATCCCGCAAATATATATATATTGAACCACTTCTCATCTCAAGATATGAAGAACATCTTGTCCCTTCTGTTTTTTCTTCAAATCTTCCTCATCTTTGGTCATGCCAACACCTATGATAGATTGTCGGCGCGATCGTCCGCATCTGACCAGGTTTCCTCTACATTTGTAAAACGGAAGACGAAGAAACATAAGAGCCAAGCATCCAATGATCCTACGACCGACCAACCGTCAACAGGCGAACAACCGATGACATGCTCGATTTCCAGATATGTTAGAGAAACAGGACTCGCGAGCGACTGTGTTTGGTCAGTCAACGCTCTGAAGCTGATTAGCCTTCGTGATCTTGATCCCAAAGTGATTGCTTCTGAGACCTCTTCTTACTAATTAACATTCTTTATCAAACGATTTTGAACAGTGCAATCGCTTTTCTGTATGATCCGAGTTTCCCAGCATGTACCATTTGCCGTACTTGTGTGGTGAGTTTAATCATAACTTCATTTGAAACAACCTGACTTGCTCAACCGGACTCTAACAATGTCTCCCTATCAGGTCCAGCCACTTGATAGCAAGGAAGTCCCACTGGGAGGTCGTAAGGAGTGCGTGAGATTGTATCCAACTGATTTGATGATTCAGAGATTCTTAACATTTCCACAAAAAATATTTCTGCCTTACAGCAAGCAAGGTCAACCTATGCCACCTTCCATCGAGCTAGCCCGAATGAATTCAGCCTATGACTCGATGTTCAAGGCCCAAGTATATACTGATGCCCCCATTTGTGACCCCTATACGACACCGCCTGGCTTGGTAAGTTGTGATTCTATGCTTGAGTTGATGATAATCTACACTCAATTGACTATCCAACGATATCTCTTACATATCTCCTTGACCCAACTTATGATCCACAATCTGGTGATATAATATACCCAACCTTTCTTCTTGGTATACAAGCAGGACAGGGGGACGTGGCTATGGCATGCAATGCCAGTCTGGCCGCGCAAGCTTACAGAGAAGCAATGTAATTCCTCAAATCCTACTGGCACCATATGTTTTTTGTAATGCTTTGTTGTTTATCTTTTGCATAAAATTGAGATATCACGGAATCATGTCCAAAGGTTCCCAGCAGTCAAATGTTCCTTTCAATCCTCTTGCACGGCTTGTTTTATTGAATTTCTCTTCTTGATAGTTATGATGCGTGTGCTATAAAGTTGGAATATATATATGTGTTGTCATTGAGTCTGAGAGAACGATTCCAAGCCTGATGGCATGCCAAACACTGGCAATTTAGGCCTTGAAATATATCATTTCTTTACGATTTTTCACAACTGACCGGCCATATTCTGAGCATATTTCTAGAATCATTTCTTTTGAATCAGTAACGAGCCAATCAATCAAATACCCGGGATCGTAGTGGTGAACAGAGTTCTTTAAAAGGTAAAATATTATGGTTGTTGTTTACATAGTTTGAGTCTGACACGCAACTTTATAGTCACTTCCGACTTTCAGGTAGCCTTCTTTAATCCATTGATACAAATATGTAGCCTGTAGACACTTTCTCTTATTATTCAGACCATGTATGTTGAGCTTCTGCTAGTTTTTTGCGTCATTAACTTATGTCCATCTCGAGTTGTTTCTTCTCTGAAGCGCAATAAATATCACGACTCGCGAGATATGAAGATGACTTCAAAAAATCATGCATGTGATTGGTAATGTACATATTGCAGACCAAAATCCGTGGACCGAGACTACATGACGAGTCGCGTCCCCACGCGCCGCGTCGGGGCACCTTTGAATTTGTAGGACAAGTTTGAGCTTAACTTTTGGTCTTATCACAACCTCAATATCCTCCTCTCCATCAAATCTATCACATCATGTCATCTAGAGCCGATCGCCGTAAGGTACTGGAGGAGCTCAAGGCGGCACGGGCTGGTCAAAGACGACAATACAAAGTGCGTTGAACTTTGTCAATTCGCCTATATACGGTCAAATGAGCTTAAGAGTATACTTGGTTGAAGATCGCTCAAGATACAAAGATATACGACACAGTTTCCGAAGAACAATATCGCGAAATCGTTAAGGGGCGCACTGAGGAGGATGACTTCATTGGTACTTTTGAGATTCAGAATATACTTGATGAATTGCATTGTTCACTGACATCTCGTCATCGACAGAGAACGATGGCGATTTTGGTTATGTGGATCAAGGTGTAGATGATTGGGAACAAGCTGATTCTGACAAGGATTCAGACGAACGAGATGCTGGTACGCATCTTTGATTGTGGAGCCCTTGTCATCTCTCATTGCTCATTTATGATCCTTCATCTCCCTAGGCAAACATCGCCAGTCGAAGTCAAAGTCGAAGGCGAAGGCGAATTCGAAAAAGTCTCAAGGCTCAGAATCGCGTCCAGAAGGCTCTCGGCCAGCTAAGACTACTCTCACAAATTCAATTGCCCCTGGATCTCGTCGCACAACCACAACTACAACGTTAGAGGGCTCTTCAGGCCTTTCAGCCTATCGAAAAGTGAAGAACCCTATGGAATCCGATGAATTTATGAATGGTCTTTTGAGTGGACTTGGGCCAGATAACTCCTCAGGAAACGCCCAATTAACCGATAATAGTGTCACAGTCTCAGAATTGAGGAAACGAAAGGGTCCAGTGACCAGTTCCATGGGTGCTGTACCCAACAAATCTCAAATTAGGCCGACAAGAGAAAGTCTTCGCAATCCTTTACCGTCCTCAAGTGATGTCGAGACGCCGATATCAATACCCTCTAGTGACAACAATGACGCTGATATCCTTAGTGAAGGCTTTGGCGGTGGTATGACTAGTGAAGCAGACGAACCAATGGAAAGGCAAAGCAAAAAGCCGCGTGTTCAAACTCTACACGAAGATCTGATTGGGTTAGGTGTTGAAGATCTGGCCTACGACGACGATTTTGATTGTCCTATGGAACCTCTCACATCGGATGGAGACGACCTTGAGGTCGTGGCACAGCTGATCCCCACGACGGCTGTGGACGAAGATTTTCAGGCCAAGCCACTACCACATCTACATAAACCTTTACATGAACCAGCTCTCAAGACTGCGGCCAATCAGAAGCCCAGGCGTCAACTAGTGAATCATGCAGGTTCTACGGCCAGTGCGAAAGGAGCCACGGGCTCCAACAATGTTACGCCGGCGGAGACGAACCCCAAGATGACAGCCACCATCACCAAACCGAAGCTCCAGGGCCTTGATTGGAAGACGGCCATAGCCAATGTGCCTATATCAAGCAATAAAGACTGTCAACAAGACAACGCCTCGAAATCAATTACTAACTCCGTTGCTCCTGCCTCCGATTCAGCTGCTAAAACCTCAAATGAAAATCCAGATCAAGTCAACCTATCCGAAACCACCGAATTTCTTGCCAATGTTCCCCGGATGGGTAAGAATATCAAAGCTCCCAGTAAAAGGGCTCTTGCCAAAGCCGAAGCAGATCGACATCTTCCTGAACCAATGAAAGTAGATGCATTTGAGCCACGTGTATCATCTGGTCCTGTTGCCACCCGCGAATCTGGCGTTGAAGGAAATGATGCCACCGAAAAAGGAGAAAACCTCAAGTTCTTTTGGCTGGACTATCTTGAGGTAGAAGGCGTGATTTATCTTTTTGGAAAGGTTTTGAACAAGTTGACCTCGACATATGTTACATGCTGTGTCATCGTGGAGGGTATGGAGCGCAATCTATTTGTGTTGCCTAAGGAAACCATTCGAGACGGTACGCATCCTATTTCTTTCTGACCCAACAATTCTTGACGCCATTTCTTCCTGAGAGCAGAAGACGATGTGGAGGTCAAGCCAACCGAAGATGATGTGTACGATGACATTGAAGATGTCCTTCAAAAATATGGCATTGCTGAATTCAAGGCCAAGGTGGTCAAACGGAAATACTGTTTTGAAGAAAAAGGAATTCCTGCGGGGGAACACGAATGGCACAAAGTAGTGTATAGCTTTTCAAGTTTGTTGTTTTACTTTTTATTCATTTCATTATTTACAGACAACTTTGTGAAGGCTTACCTTCAACTTCCAATTCTGATTTGACATTCAATCTTCTGATATACAGAGCCTGCGATTCCTTTGAATACCAAGAGTCGAACATTTGGAAAGGTTCTTGGCACCCATTCGAGCGCGTTTGAACTTTTTCTACTGAAGCGACGGATCATGGGACCTTGCTGGTTGAACTTGAAAGGGGCTCTCCCAAACAAATCTAAGACCCCGGTACGAAGCGGCTCCATTCCTTCACTGTGCGACTATTGTTCTCACTCACCAATTAATTTGTCATCGCGATTTTATGCTCTCGTCCGGCATGTTAGGCCTCTTGGTGTCAATTGGAGGTCGTAATCAAAAATCCGAAGTCGATAAATCCCTTTTCTGATTCGGACAGTTCGGCTCCTCAAGATCTGCCACCTCTGAGGATCATAAGTTTGAGCGTCAGAGATATTATGAATCATAAAGAAAATAAGAGAGAACTCGTATGTGCAACTATACGGACATGGCATGATGGTGGGTTTCTAGCTTGACTTTTTCGGATATCGTGATGAATACCACTCATCTCAGATACGTATCTTGCACTCCTCAGCGCAACTGGAAGACTCGACTCCGTTGGATCAGCAACCATCTTTTACCAAGACGTTTGTTCGGCCCCTCTCCCTTTTCCCGGCGGCCTTTCGCGACGCCTGTCGCCAAACCTCACCAGTCATTTATCCTGTTACCAATGAGCAGACACTGCTTACGGAGCTACTCGCTGATATCAGTCGTTTAGATCCTGATATTGTAGTTGGGTATGATCTTACGAGTGGAGCACTTGATGTTTTATTGCATCGAATGAGGGATCTTAGAACACCACATTGGTCTAGGATTGGTCGATTTCGAAGGGACAAATTACCTCTTTTGAGATCAGGTGCAATCAATAATCAACTCACTGGTCGGTTGTTGTGCGATCTCAGTGCCGAGGGATTCAAATCGAGTGTCAGTTCTACTACCTGGTCGCTGACCGAATTATGTCAACAGCATCTCAACATTGCTCGTGAAGATATCGACCCCGATGAGATCATTGATTACTTTGACTCCACTTCTACTAAACCCACACGTCTAATCAACTTCATCAAGCACTCCGAAGCCGATACATATTTTCAAATGGCTCTTGTTCACAAAGTGCAATATTTGAGTTTGACCAAGCAGTTGACCAACTTAGCCGGTAATAGTTGGAATGCGACCTTATTTGGTGGAAGAGCGCAGCGCAATGAATACATTTTACTTCATGAATTCCATCGTCAGAAATTCATTTGTCCTGATAAATTATCTTTCAATGATCGGAAAGCAATTGAAAAAGCTCAAGCTATCAAGAGTGAGAACGATGGAGAGGATGGCAAGAAGAATGTAAAGAAAGATAAATATAAGGGTGGTTTGGTTTTTGAACCTAAGAGAGGATTGTGGGATAAGTTCATCTTGGTGATGGATTTCAACTCTTTGTATCCAAGTATCATTCAGGAGTATAATATCGATTTTACTACCATTGACCGGACTACCCTTGACGTGAGCTAGGCTGTTCCTTCATTATCAGAGCTGGATTTTAACTCGATTGACAAGCTCGGTGTATTGATTCTTGATTGTTGGTGTATGACAGGAAGATGACCCAGACGCGATGCCAGAGCTTCCCTCCAGTAGTACCAAGCAAGGTATCTTACCTCGACTGATTGCCACATTGGTCAATCGTCGACGGCAAGTGAAGAGTCTGATGAAGGATCGGGATACCCCACCCAATAAAATGATTCAAGTAAGTTCAGAACCCTTGATCTCGCTGTTACTTATTACCTCAAGATACTGATACTCGCGGTTGCAGTACGAAATCAAACAACTGGCATTAAAATTGACGGCCAACTCGATGTATGGTTGTTTGGGTTTCGAAGGATCTCGATTTTATGCAAGATCACTAGCTGCTTTGACAACATACAAGGGTCGTGAGATCTTGACGAACACCAGAGAATTGGCGGAAAGCAAGGATTTAGATGTAAATATATAACTCTCTCCTTTGATTGCGCCAAGACCTTCCACAAGCTAAGATTTTTGTTTACAGGTCATATATGGTGACACTGATTCTGTGATGATCAACACCAATGCTATCGATTTTGCAGCTGCGAAAAAGATTGGTGGAGAGTTCAAGAAGTTGGTCAATGAGCGATATCGACTTTTGGAGATCGATATCGATGCAGTGTTTGAAAGAATGTTACTTTTACAAAAGAAGAAGTATGCAGCTTTAAAGATTGACGAAGTGACCTTACAGAAAAGTGTTGAAGTGAAAGGTTTAGATATGAAACGAAGAGAATTTTGTAAACTGTCAAAAGATGCTTCACAGTTTAGTCATTTGACCATTTTCTCCCTCACCATCCATCTTCATTCTTACTGACTTAAACTCTTATCCCTACGATACAACTAGATATATCTTACAACACGTTCTGTCAGGAGACCCAACGGAAATTGTAGTTGAAAAGATGCACGAGTATCTTACACAACTCGGAGAAGATGTAAAAGAAGGCAGAAAAGATCTAGAAGATTTCATCATACATAAGAAATTGGGTAAAAATCCAAAAGATTATCCAGATGCCAAATCTCAACCACACGTACAGGTGGCCCTAAGGATGGAATCTAAAGGAAGTTCTGCTGCTAAGGCTGGTGATGTGATTCCATATATCTTTTGTTTGGGTGATGATGGTAGTTCTAGTACTAGATCTGCTCAAGCAGATAAGGCTAGACATCCTGATGACCTGAGAAGGTCGGATTCACCTTGGAAGATAGGTATGTGATCTTATCTCAAAATCATCAGTATCTCATTAGACGTTTTACTAACGTTTTTTTTGGAAATCCCAATGTTTTGATATAGATTATGATTACTATCTTTCATTACAAGTCTTACCACCTATTGAACGTCTATGTGAGCCTATTGAAGGTACCGATAGATCTCGACTAGCGGAATGTCTTGGACTAGACCCATCTCGCTTCAAGACACATACATCGTCCAATGCGCTAGACAATGACAGGGAATTTCACACACTTGATTCTCAAATACCGGATTCAGAACGGTTTAAGGATTCGCAGCCCTTCAAACTTCGATGTCGATCTTGTCATGAAGAATCAGATTTCAAAGGTGCACAAGCCGACACAGTATGTCCATTCCAAAAGGTTAATGAAAATAAAGATATATACTGATCGGATCTTTATCTTGTAGCTTGGAATGATTGGTATCTCTGGTATCATTTGCCCTAACTTGGTTTGTAAACAGCGATATAGTATAGGTTCAATGGTCGCTCAACTGGAGATTCAAATAAGAGGTTATATTAATAAATTCTATGAGGCATGGCTTGTGTGCGATGATGCATCATGTCGGAATCGGACAAGGATGATGTCAGTATATGGAAGGAGATGTTTGAACTCGTCAATGGCGTGTAAGGGAGTGATGAGTTATGAGGTACGTTTGATTTTCGACTTTCGTTAGTTTTTACAGGATTGTCACGAAGTGGAACTCTAACAAAAACTAAATACATTTATAGTATACGGATAAGATGTTATATGATCAAATATTATATTATCAATCACTTTTTGATCCTGATAAAGCAATAGAAAGGTTTAAAGGAACAGATAAATCTGGTAAGTTTAAAGATATCATCATACCTTTTCTATCGGATTTGAATTAAGTTGAATTTCTTTCACAGAATTGACGGCCAATATTTTGAAAGTGAATAAGAAGACGCTTTCAATTTTGAAAACTATTGTTGATAAACATTTAGAATGGAATGGAAGAAGATATGTTTCAATGGGGTCTTTATTTTCTTTTATGACAAATGTAAAAGGAATGAAGTAAGAGAGAAGTTTCGTTGTGTGTATGTTTACTTGGTTATCATGGATTGGGTTTTGTTTTGTTTTGAATTGTTAGTTGGTTCTAGGATCTGGAATTTGTACACTGTGACTTGATTTGAATGGTAGCTATTGAGTCTGGATTTCTTATGATGAACAGTTTCAGTGAGAATGTAGAAGATAGTCATATATATAACTAAGAAGCGTTTTCCTCTGATCCACATTCATGGGAATTTGAGCTGAGGAAATGGTCGAGTGCAAGATAACAAGATATCCGAAGTTCAGCTCGGGTCTTGTGTCAGAACTGGACCATTGATAAACTTTGGACAAGTAGGTCAACGATCGGTTATGTTGCATCACAAGTTACATCTTTCAAGTTTCTTCAATCACAAACTCTACGTTCTACCAAGGTCTGCTCATGGAGAATCTGATACGAGATATATCTCAAGGATGAAAGAAAACTAAAAATGTCAAAGGTAGAATCGGAAGTAGAATTACCAACTGAAAGTAGTTGGATATCAATAAAGTAAAGTTCACTCACTCGATCGAAAACTAGCTTGAGACCAATACTTGAAATTATATCGTCAGTCGAAGTTCCTCAGATTGGAGTGGATTATTCAAAGCACCTTTATCAGCTACTTCTATTCTCAATCAACACTCGGCAATCGCTTCTCAAACGGATGGTGAAGAAGAATCGAAAATCAATTGGATTGCTATCAAACGCGTTGATCTTGGTCTCAAACGCTACCCACACGATATCAAAAAAGAAGCCAAATTCTTGGCATCACTTGATCACCCTAACGTCAGTTCAAACTCCTTGAGCTGGTCATTGAAAGATAGACAAAGCTAATATCTTGTCAATTACGACTTTATAGGTAGTACCTCTTCTGGCTACATCTAATGCATCTTCAACTTTCTCGTTATATCTTCCACTTTATCAGCTCACACTCAGCGACTTATTACAAAGCTCAAAACCAAGATTCACACCTGATAGTTTACCAGCTTTCTATTTCCTTTCAAAGCAAATCATACATCAACTTAGTTCAGGCTTATCATACTTACATCAATTAGGAATATCACATCGTGATATAACACCATCAAATGTAGTAATTGATCAAATTGGAACTCCGATTTGGATAGATTTTGGTACAGCTTGGAGTCCATCAATTAATCAAGATACAGAAAAAGATGAATTAGAATTCGAATTAGGTACAATGCCTTATCGTGCACCTGAACTTTTGTTTGGATCTAGGCATTATGATCCTTTGAAGATTGATCTTTGGTCATTTGGAGTTTTAATTTCGGATTTCTTTTGTCCTCTTTTGGAGGAGTCTGATAAGAAAGAGAGTAGTAATGTTCGAGCTAATTGGAGAGCTGATAATACTACTACAACAGATCGGCATGAAGGATTGTTTTCATTTGATCTAAATGATGAAAAATTTAATGAAGATCAAGATGAATCAAAAGAAGGGAATGTATTAGATTGGTATACAAAACCTGTTGTGAATCGTAAGGTTTTTGAAGAAGATTTGGATTGGAAATTACCTGAGATTGAAGGAGATCGATTTGATGAAAATGAAAATCATTTACAGAGAAAAAGTTTGTTTGTTGGTCATCTTGGTGATATTGGATTAGTTGGTAGTATTTTCAAAGTTTTGGGTACACCGGATGCATCAACTTGGCCGGTCAGTTTCATTTCGATCATGTACTGTTCTACTTTTTAAAAAAAACATGCGATACTGATGACCATGTATGCGTATTTGCTTGCTTTTTTATTATGATAGGAATCAGAAACATTACCGGATTTTTCTAAACTAACTTTTCATACGTATTCTCCTCAACCTCTTGAAGACCTTTTACCATATACCAAACCGAGGAATGGTAGTCATCAGAAAGAAGAAAAGGACTCGAAATTGATTATTGATTTGATTTCAAGATTATTGGTTTATCAATCTACTGAACGTCTTACCATAGGTCAAGTTTTGAAACACACATGGTTTGATGGTCTTGGATCGGATTATGAGGGGAAAAGTTATAAGGAATGGATGGAATTGTGGAAATGAATTTTGATTTGTATGTGAGATTATTGATGAGATATGAAAAGGATTCTAGATAAGAAATGATTGGGGTAGAAATATCAAATCAAATTAATTGTATTTGTCATAATTTTCTATTACATTGCATCAGCTACACTTGGGCAGTCTTATAGATCTAGATTTAAATCTACAGTGTCTTCATCGAAATCATTCTAATTAATCTTTTTTGAGTTTTGCTCTTTAATCGTCTTTGTCTACCTGCTATTGTCTTTGTGATTAATGAATCACACCATTGGAAAATGTTTGTTAAAACATAATCTAGGGTGGAACCTTACACTTGAAGTGGCAATACTGCATTTGTGACAGTGATCGCATTGAGTGCAACCACATGATATCACACATTGATCTAGAACACAATGTGATCGAGAAGACATTCTTGACGTAATACAATAACAGAATGAATGTTTCCCGCCCGAATCAACCTTCACAGACATTACAACAATGAAATAAGCATGAGGACACTGGTAGAGGTTTAAAGGACTCTCAAACATGAAAGTCGAAAATCTTTCTCAAGTTCTGGGCTTGCTCAGCGGAGAGTGTGAACAAAGTGGCATCTGAACTCTTTTGTTTGTTTAGCCAAATTTAGAGAGCCTTTTCCAAATCTTGGAAGGTATCGAGGTGTTCTCTCTTTCAAGATTCGTGCTAACAAATTTGATGATGGAGCGGGACGAGCGCTCAGCGATCCCAGGAATGAGTATCGAAGAAAACACGCTGGTGCCATCTTTTGTAATTCATCAGAACAAGCGGAGAATGGTCCAAGCAGATCGGCCAAAGGTGGCCTGTTAGCTTCATGTGGCAAAGCGCCACTCCAGACACTCGCGATGACTAAATACCTTGTGGTTCATGCTCGGCAATGTCGAAATAGCTCTCATCATATTTTATACAACGTGTTTTGGGATACATAAACGAACAAGCAAGCAGCCCAATGATAGATCTTTCTAACGAGATCTTCTTAATCAATTGCATATTTTCGGTAACTCTAGAATAGATACAACTAGCTTTCCTGTGCTCATTCGTCTTCCTCTGCCCAAGGAAGGTTCCGGAAAACTCATGGTCGTCTCAAAGTTCTCAGTATCCAACATCCTGTTTTTCGGGCTCTTCATCCAGAAGGAGCACTCTACAAGAACGGCGGAGAGGCGCCTACTTCACAAAAATTGTGATTTACAGGGAGGATCAACTGAAGGACTGCTTTGTGTATGCACCCAGTCGGGTGTCCTCATTGACCCTTGATGAAATTGTCTGAGAGAAAGGATCCGAAAATGGCTACGAGGAAGATGAAAAATCCTTGGATGGAGGCTCTCCGTGCTCTCAAGTCCATCAGTCTAGGGTGTCCAGTGGACATCTGAATGGCATTCATCACCCACGTCCTCAACGTTCTTGCTGAAGAGGAAAGATTTTCCGGCCTGTATGCTCTTGAGGGCTCGAAGAGCTGCGTAGACGCTTTCGGGTGGGCCCATAAAACGAGATTTTGTAGCGAACGAATAACAGCTCAGTACTCATGAGTCTCTTCATCAAAAATGAGACTTGAAAGTATTTAACCTTCTTCGTCAACCGTCAAATTCAAGAACCTATTCAGGGTTTATGACCGATGCCTGAATCAGTCGGAGCCAACCATCAAACGTGCGATTGAAGAGTAAAAAAATGGTCAGAAATGAACAATCCTTCTGATGATTCTTTGAAGATTGGATTGCAGCTCTTACTATCTGAAACGTGGAGAGGTCACGCTGAGTGGGCGCATGTAGGAATCGTATCTTGGTCATGGTCAAAGCAAGTGAAGTGGTGAAAAGTGGAAGGTTATTTTGTTGGGCGGAATGGGGGCAAGAGGGTGGCATGACTCTGATATATAGAATTCGACGCCAATTAAGTCATGCAACAAATCGCTCAGGATGATGAGCTGAGATTGAATTAAAATTCTGATAACCAGTTCGTCGCGTTGACCGAAAGAAGTCGGTGAGAGTTGAGTTGTGGATGGAACTTGGTATCCAATTATCAACTCCTCGAGGTTCATGATGATCACATCACTATACTTCGATCATTGGCTTCAGATATATCAAACTACGATGAGCGCACGAAGCCTGAGACATATTCCAATCCGTTGATGTCTCAGTATTTCTTGTATGGAAGGAAAATCTTTGAAGTGTGATCGAGTTTCAACCCTTTCGATATCACACCGGTGTTCTTTGGGAATCATGCTCATTTTCTACAGAGATGTCGCGTCCTTGTTAGTCAATCAACATTATCCGCCGAATTGGTCTCATCAGGAAATGCTCATAAGAGCATTGTATCATTGTGTTTATATCAACACGGACAAATTTTCTTCAATCAACATGTCGTAAGTGCAGGATGACATGTGGGCCTTCTGCTTTACCTTTATTGCTATGATTATGCTCAGAAAATATTCTCTGGTTTTTCCCACGCGAACTTTTGGTGCGAGGGACTTTAGTTAGTTTGCTGAGCCAGGTAGCTTCTCTTTACGTGCTTGGATCTTGCATTACTTCTGGTTTGACGCGCGGCTTGTATTTCCGACTTCAACCTGATCCAGGAGATCTTCAATTGACTAATATCCATACGGACCTACAAGGCTTTTCACAGAATTACCCATCCTGTGCACAAATGGATTCCATCCAGACATCAGTAGTAGGGAATCAATAATGAGTCAGTCAGTGATGGCTTCACCAAATAGCTTGCCTTGTAATCAGTTGCAGACGGTATGGGTTAGTCTTTGGTTCAAGGGAACGTATGGTTATGCATAAATCGATTCTTGAAACTATACAAAAAATAAAGAAATGAAGTGTAGATGATTCGGCAGTCGGCGTTCCACTAAGCTTGACTAATAAGCCCCTCATGCGTGTTCGCCGCGCCCTCACAGTCCCTCGAACCTCGAACGTCCCTTGGAGCCGAAGGCAAAGGACTCGACGGTACGAATGAGGCTTCATGCTGTACTTCGGTGTTAGAGTGGCATGTATGTTCAGCGATTTCAAGTCTTCATTCTTATACAAGATGACCATAGATTCCATATACGTTTGCTCACGTTTGTTCCCTGTAACAAAACAACCTCAGTTCTCCATCAGGTTATGAGCCGCCCTTCAGGCGTGTGGAAAAGACTTGGACATTTGCACATGGTCTCGTGAAAAATTGTGAATAGACTTTAATGCTGTGTGAGGAAAGAAACCTTTCTTGTCTTGCTTGGATGAGTAAGAATCAAGATACAGCCAACCTAGAACGTCTCCATTTTCAATATCGATGGAGTCATAGTTTTGTATGTCAACTCTGGACATTTATACCCTGCTATCTTCCACGCCTATGGGGGCTGCGCTTTGTTGTATAGCATACTTTCTTCAAAGATATATAGCGCATCAGCATTGCTAGCTTCATCTTTGTAAGGGCATGGATTTGTTTAGCTTGTGTTGGTGTTTGCCTCGTATTGGAAGATGCTTTTTTATCTCATGGGCTGGCTTAGGCTGGCTTCCGGCTATGACAGAAGCGTATCAAGTTATTTGCATAAAGTATATAAATTATACATGGCCAGCATCTGGAAAAGTATGTAGCGAAAAGTATGTAGCGCTACATACTTTACTTTGAGTACCCTTATACATATCTCTCGCCAAGGAGAAAAATTATACATGGCCAGCATCTGGATGTATCGGCATAATAAGGCTCCATAGATTAAAGTTTGGGTCATCAGGGAATTCCTCAGACCTTTCGTCGTCTTGCCGTCTCCTACAGTTCTCAACTTCGTGAGCACTTTGTTGATGAACCCGTGATAAACTATGACTGCTCGCTAGGTTTCTTCAAATTTGGACATGTCGAGAATTACGTTCAACAATACCAACTTGGTACTAGAGCTCAATGACTGTATGACTAGTCCGACCATCATGGTAATGGATCACTCTTCGAAATATCTCATTTGGCTGACTGATTTGAGAAATTCTCGTAAATATCAGTGTATAGAGTGCTGGTCTCGAGGGCTACTCGAGTGGATGACTAAATATACCTTCTCAAGACTTTATTGAGCTCTGGTAAATAATCCATTGGCAACCTCGCTGTTGCATATTCTCAATATTGGTCGACTTCGTCTTAGCATCAAACCGCCTCACCACCAATCATTGCGATACATAACTCGTGAGAAAGAGCATTGCAAGAGTTTGTGGCCGTGTCATGAATAGCATCCGGGCAAATTGGTTTTTGTATGTTCTATGATCCGCATCGCATGTAGGGAAAATCTCGGCGACTTGGCTATGCTGCCTTCGTCCTGAATTTTGAGCAAACGTTTGGCCAAGAGATTGGTATTGTGACCAACATGCACGTACTATTCAAGTGGGAGTATGTCAGGGCCTTTTCCCCCATCCCATTAGCTCACTTCCACTTGAGGCTTCTGTCGGTGAATTTTGAAATGCCTATCCAATTGAGCCTGATAGTTTGGTACCTTTCTAGTCACTCTCATTCCAACAGGCAAGGAATGTTCAAAATAGATAGGGCAAAGGGAATTATAAATTTGCATGCTTCAAGTTTGGCGAAAAATTCTGAACCCGGGCTCATCAACTATATAAGGTGGCCAGAAGGTTGGCTTCCTTCCAGATTTCCCTCATCAACTGCACATCTCCTTTCATCCAAATCGGACTTGCAATCCTCAAGCCACCTTATATTTTTACAAATCAAGAGTGCTTATTTTCAATCACATCTTCCTATTCTCATCCCGCTCTCCGCATCAACGTGACCAGTAGATCGAGATGCTCAGTTTTACCTCCAGCTCCAAATCTAAAGGTCGTTCAGGGTCCATGGCGGATCCTCGGGCAAGTCGCACCCTACCGATCCCAACGCGGATTATGCCGGTCAGTACTTGTTCCGTAAACTGTTTTCACCTTTGGATATTTCATCTTTCCTCTTTCGTTTGCGTATGGTTCCTATCCTTCGCCTACACCTGTTGTGTCTGTTTCACTATGTATCCTTACCCACGCGATCGCACAACACGCTCCTTACCCTGAACTGTATCAAACACTTCGTCTATCCTTGTTTGATGAAATCGTACTCGCTTTTCCAAAATTGAACTTTTCTCACAAATCTCTCTACATTGCATTTTGTATCTTTCAGTCACCTCCCCGTCTGCCTCTACCTCAAGGACTCAGGCTGGCTAGCGCAGGTCACGAGTCTGACAGCTTTTTTGAAAGTGTCACCCGAAGTTGTGGATTACTTGAACAAGTCAAGAGTCCTGAAACGGTCACCATGTCCAATCCACACCTAGTTCCGAATCCCAGAAGTGTGAGTAATTTTTTCCTAACCTTGCCTCAGTCTTATCATGAACTCGAGATCTTGTCTTCTGACTAGCACACTATACCATGTTTATTTGCCCTGTGACTCGTAGGCCTCCTCCTCTGCCACCTCGGTTACAAGAAGTCACGCTATCCAACATGGCTATACCTCCTCCTCTTCGTCCCTTGCATCGACCTCCTCAAACTCGTCTTCGTCTTCGTCTTCATCCCAAAGCTCTCAGTATCCAACATCCTGTTTTTCGGGCTCTTCATCCAGACGGAGCACTCTACAAGAAAGGCGCAGAGGCGCCTACTTCACGAAAATTGTGATTTACAGGGAGGATCAACTGAAGGACTGCTTTGTGTATGCACCCAGTCGGGTGTCCTCATTGACCCTTGATGAGATTGATTGTCACAAAGGATCCGCCCCGGCCGCACCTGGACACGCGATTAACCAGGAAAACATTCGCTCAAGGCCAGCGGTTTCACCTCTCACCACGGCGTCATCAAATGGCTACGAGGAAGATGACGAAGGTGAAGAAGAGGTGTTGGAGGACGATGAAAGTCATGATGGGTACTCCCGTCCCTCCTCTTCCATGTCCATTCAAAGCGATCCCTTCGAGTACTCGGCATACCTATCGCGGCCGGCATGTCAAAAGCTAGACCGCTCTCTCTCTCGCGCTTCGTCGGTGACTATTCGACCAACAAAACGAGACTCAGTGACACCAAAAGCTCATCCAAGCTCTCCTTCGCCTGGGCCTACCGATACCATCTCAAATTATTCAGCATACCTGTCGCAGCCGCTGCGTGAAAAGTCAGAATGCTCTCTCTCCCGAGCTTCGTCGGTGACAATCCGACCCACAAAACGAGATTTAGTGGTACTCGATGCGAGCTCGCCTCCGCCTGGACCAACACCTCGAATGGGCCCACCCGAAAGCGTCCACGCTGCTCTTCGAGCCCTCAAGAGCATACAGGCCGGAAAATCTTTCCTCTTCAGCAACAACGTTGAGGACGTAGGTGATGAATGCCTGTCAGATGTTCACTGGACACCAGAGGAGTTTTCCGAGGTTGGTATCGCGCTTTGATTGTTGGCCCGAGAGGAACACAATTAGCTTAGATTATAAAACCTACCACTCGATTTTTGAAACTGTTGCGTCATAGTATCTCATCTATTCCTGCATTTCGACTATAATTTTGTTCTCTTTCCTTTTGGTTTGTTTTTAACTATTTTTCTTACATCACAGCAAGCTTACTCGTACCACATCTATCTTTTGGACTCTGTGATATTAAGTATTAGGTATTCACGCTAAATTAATTGTAATTTTATAATCATTAATGGGGTTTCTATCTTTTCTTGATAATTTGAACCTTCTCCTACATAGCCAAGCAGCATTCCTTTTACATACTTGCAAATAATTTCCTTGATCCCATCCCACTTTTGAATTCACTCATGCACTTATCCTGCAAGAAATAAACAGAATTGATGTGTGCGTGACGTCACTGAAACTCCGCTCCTTCCACCAAGAAACTTGATAGATGAAATGCAAACATTGTCTCACATCAACTTCAGTGTAATGAGAGTAGTCAGCTTTGCAAGAGGTGACCTTTTCATGCCTTTGTTAGCCAAATAGAATCAAACTTCAATGAACAATTAGCTCAGAACAGAATCCTAATCTGGACCAATTCAAAAATGAAAGCATCAATGATGGAGAACTGAATATGAAAGGGTATTGTAGACCTCTCAGGATCACAACACCAAATTTGAGTCTTGAGTTTCAAATACAAGATATTTCTTTTTTGATCAGGGACAACAACGTCAGAAGTTTCAACAGATACACAGGTTTAGAGGGTTACTAGTAGACAAGCCTTTGACCAACTACTTGAAAGACGTCTGAGGCCTTTGCCATCTGAGCACACGTTGGACTTATACACACAAAGCGTCATTTTTGAAAGTGCATCCACTGTACAAATGTGCTATTGCCTTGGGTTAGTATCCATCTGGCTGTTTTGGAATATGAAAACACCTGCAGGGATGCATAATTCTACAATTCCTTCAGAATATTAAAATTGTCCCTCATGTAAGTCTCGCATGGTCAGATTTGCTTTGATGTAAACTGAGTCATGTGTTAAAGATTGGTTGGGGATCTCAGGCTGTGATTTGATACAAGAAAATGAACTCATTGATTTGTACATTCATTGGTGTTTGATGAGGAAAAAAGCTAGCTTTCAAATTCATAGTAATATCATGTCAAGAGCTTTACAATTTGCACCCTTCTGATATTCACACTGACTGTCTTGTTTAGTTTTTTGGGTGAATTTTGGATCTCAAGCGTACTTTCAATATTATTGCAAATGTCATGGAGGCTCAGCACATCTGAGCTTTCCTCAGATTTAAAGGGTGCATAGTGAGTGACCCAAGGGACAATGATAGGTCACAACAACCCATGGAGAGATCTCTCTGTGTGGCTCATTCAAATCAAAGCTCTGGTCTCTGAATAATCTTCAAGTTTCATGGGTTGCCACTTTTTTGAGCACGCATTGAAGCAATCAGAAGTACAAGATTACTTGGTGGATATTGTAAAAAAAAAGAAGTCTTGAAAGGCTCCTGGCAAAACAGAATCAAGGAATTCAGAGTGATGCCTGTGGGTTGACACCCCCGTCATATTCTGGAAATACATCTCAGATGCTGTTCAGCTGACAATTCTCCCTAAATAGAAACAATAAGGTGGTTGGAGGGAGTTTAGGCAAACAAAGAACATACACAATGTGTTCTCTACATTTCACTCAAGAAAAAACTGCGGCGGCCAAGTTGGTATTTTTGAAAGGCTGAGGTTCTTTATTCTCATTTGATGCATTGAGAATCTTTTTGAGACCACGTATGTCTTTGGCGCTGGTGGTCCTTGTGTTTCAGTTACTCGTGCTATCAGAATAGAGGAGCGCTAAAATTATCAGGCAGTTGAGGCAAGCACATGTCTGATTAAAATTCGGTGACGAGGTTGAAGTACATAGGGATTGACCTCACTAAGGAGAAGGGATATTGATAAGTCTAGCATTACAGGTTGAAGCTCATCAACCTTCATCACCAGCGCAATTTCCTCGGATGCCACACATATCATGCAGATTATTTCCGGCTTGTATAAATATGAGCTGACCACACGTTGTTTGGCAAAATAAACACCGAAGAAACCGGGTGCAGAAACAATATAAAAAAAGGACATTGACATGAGCTAAGCCATACATACCATTTTTCCTGCGGACAAGGAATAGAAAAAGAAGCTCCGATATATATCACAAGAGCAAAAAGTTTGATTTTTGAGCAACTGGGACGTCCGAATTGATGCCGTGCGGGGTTGCTAACGATGAGCCTCGGGCGACCTGCTGCCAGCAGATCCACAGTTTCGGCCATCAGGGAATTTGGGATACGCAAATACATACCGTAGTTTGTCAATGGGGTGTTAACCAAAGCCCACGTGACCAAAGGTCGTTTGCTCCATAGGAGGTCTCAACATGCGTCCATCCGAATGCGCCTGCAAGAATCTGCAAGACCAACACTCTGTAGGTATCAATTGAAAGAACTTTGTGCGAGAATTGGTCAAATCGGTCAGACTGACTTGAAGATCTCAAAGATTTGATAAGGAGACCATGACGGCCGGATCAATTTGTACCCAGACCATGACTGTAAAAACTATGTTGGTCGCATTGAGCCTAAATCTCAGCATAGTTAGAATCAAAGGAACCTATTGGAGAGTGATCGTGGTTCACACTCACGACGATGAGGCTCGTACATAATCGGCATGAAGACTGCCACCCTGAATATTTCTTTTAGTTCGTCTTGCTGAGGATTAGGGTCTCATGGGATCGCTGCAAGGATGTTCATTTGAATTTCAAACCCTGGAAGGTCTTAGGCATCAATTCCCCTCCTCACCCGTCATTACGATACATAGCTCATGACCCGTGAGGGTAAGCATTGAATTTGCAAGCGTTAATAACCACTGAACCAGTGTCATACAAATCATACGGGTAAATTAGTTTTGGTATCTTCCATCATCCAAATTGCAAATCATAGGGACAATCTGGGAGACTTGGCGATGTTCTTTTCGTCCTGGATTTTGAGCAAATGTTGAGCTACGAAATTGCAATCTTGACCGACTTGCACATTCTATTTGAGCGGGAGTAGGTCAGGGCTTTTTCCGCCATCCCGTTAGCAAACTTCCATTCGATACTTCCGTCGGTGTAGGTTGGAATGTGGATCACATCAAGCTTGATAGCTTGGTGCCTTTGCAGTCACCTTCAGTTCAACAGGTGAGGAATGTTCAAAATAGATAGGGCAAAAGGATGTATAACTTTGCTCATACCTTCATGCTTCGGCGACAAACTATGCACCCGGGTTCACCAACTAAGCTGGCCATATAACTGGCTTCTTTGCAGATTTCCCTACTCGTTTCCAACTTCCCTTTCATGCACTTCAAACTTATCATCCAACCCTTCCTAAGATCATTTTCCTATCATCTCCTCACGATTAGCCTCAACCAGCTAACACAGACACTCGCCATTTATCATTTTACTTTGTTCATCAACGCAACCGGTCAAAAAAGATGTTCAACTTCCCCACCACCACCACTTCGAAGAGCCACTCCGGGTCCCTGGCTGATGCCCGGTTCAGCCGTACCCAACCTCCTGATACTTCACTAAAGGCAATGATTCTGCCGGTCAGTGGATGTTTTGCAAACAGTTTCACCATCCATATATTTCACCATACCTATTTCCATCAGCTGTCACTCCACATCTGTCCATATCCTTTTTGACGCATTTGTCTTGTTCGTTTCACCATCTTTACCCACGCTTTCGCACAACACTGTCTTTATTCTACATACATTGTATCAAACACTTGATCTACACATCTGTTTTTATAAAACCGAATCCTCTTCCAAATTTCCCAACCTTTCTCATATAAATACCTTTTCATTCCATTTCCTCTGCTATAGGCACCCCCTCGTCTCCCTCTTCCTCAAGGTCTCCTGAGTTCAGGCCCAGGCAGCTTTTCAGAAAGCGTGTCTAGAAGTTGCGCCTTCCTCGGGCAAGACGAGAATATTAAGATGGCGACAACACCAAAATCGCGCAACGCTCGACGAAGTGTCAGTAATTGTTTCTGTTTCTTTCTATTCGTGTGGAAATTTTTATTGCACGCTTCAAACTTCGTCCTCTAACTGACCCACACTATGTCACCTTCATCCCCTCTCTGGCTCCCAGGTTGCTGTCGCTAGTACCCTCACGCGGAGTCCCGCCATCCGCCATGCCTATACTTCCTCCTCCTCCTCAAATACATCATCTTCGTCGTCATCATCAGCATTTTCTAGTTCATCCCAAAGCTCGCAAATGTCTGCAACCTCATCCTTGGGCAGTTCCTCAACAAGCAAGAGCGTTCGACAAGAACGACGAAAGGGGGCCCATTTCACTAAAATCGTCATTTCACGCGAGGACCGAAAGGAGGACTGCTTCTTGTACGCAGCGAGACGACCTGCATCGTCATCGTCGCTCTCTGAGGACTTCTTCAAATTCGACTCGGCAAAGGGACTCGAGTTACCACGAAACTTGTCATCGGTCCGTATGACTCGGAATAACGTACCTCAGGTGGTCTCACTGGATCATACACGGCATGTTAGTCACCGTGCCGACATTTGCGAAGGGAAAGTGCCCCCATCACCCGCGGTCACGGTCTTTTCCAATGAATACGAGGAAGATGTCGAAGGTGATGAAGAAGCCTTAGAGGACGATGAGAGCCACTATGGCTACCCACGCCCATCTTCATCTATGTCGACTCGAAGTGATCCGTTCGAGTTCTCTGCGTACCTGTCTCAGCCGGCGTCTCGAGATACGGGGCGTTCTCTCTCTAGGGCCTCGTCAGTCACTATCCGGCCAACAAAAAGGGATTCCGTTGTAATCAGGAGTGAACACAATTCTCCTTCACTTCCGCCTCCTACCCCCTCAATCCCAACTCCTCGGCTTGGCCCTCCTAACAGCGTACTTGAGGCTTTACGTGCTCTCAAGTCCATCCAATCCAGGCCAACATTTCTTTTCAATGTGGACCCCGAGGACGTGGACGATGAAAGCCCATCATACAATCACTGGCCGACAGTTGATCCTTCTCAAGTCGGTATTGCGCTTTGAGGCTCTGACAACAATCAAAATTACACATATCACTCGCATCGCAAATCCAATCTACTATATTCATATCTCTCGCTCGTCTCTTGATTTCGCCTATTCTTTGCATTTTCGCTTACTTAGCACACCTTTTCTTGCATCATCTCAAGTTTACTCATAGTGCATGTAGCGTTTTGATTGATTTATTTAAACTTTCTGGCAGTCTAGCCAATCATTATTATATTCTCATTACGAAGTCCTTGTCGTTATATTCTCATCAATCAGATCCCTTATAGTAGCTCATATCAGACTTATATTCAAGTAAAGTTTATATACTTTGAGTTCATGATTCCATCGTTTGCATTTTCTTTGCATTCGCTCTTCATATCAATTACCATGTTATTCTCATCATCATGTCTTTATCAACGTCTTATCGGATCAGTCATTGTTCAAATGTCACACACGCCTTCCTGTTTTTTTGAATCAGCCTCACTTTCATGTGATATGTAGTCGTGTTTTGAATCACTTTAATTATGCCTTATGAACAAACACGTTCACATCTATTTTCAAATGAATGATATCTCTGTTTAACCTTGAGCCCTTTGGTGACAAAAAAGCCTAATGATCCTTGACGATCCCGTTGCCCGCGACAATGGTCTGTATTGTTTTGACCGTATCGCACCAAATGTATTGGTACATTTCATTGTAACACTATCCGAAAGTTGCCTTTTGGTCATCCTTCATAAGCATACCGTTGTCAACCACTTGAAGAGTGAAAAGAATACTCGAAAGTAAAAAAACGCCAAACCAAAGACAGCATGATGGTAGGCAAAAAATCAAACCAGTTGTTTTCAAGTCTCCTATTATATTTCTTCTCATGTGTCTCGCATGGACTGGTATATAGTCGCTGAATTAATCTCAACTTGTATTTTTTTCTACTTTCAATTCTTTTCTGGAAAGCTTGTCTGTCTTTCCGTGTTGTATTCCGCAGAGTAATGGCATTTTGGTTTCAAAGAAAAAAACTCAAGAAAATCTACGATTTTAGACATGAACTCGTGGTTCATTTGGTTCAAGTTGAAAAAGACAATTTGACTCCAGTTGAGAAAGACTTGAGTGAAGTTGAGTTGTTGAGCTTGCTGCTTGCTGCGGGAGGAGTATGTTTATATGTAGGGATGTGTATAATGAGGGATGAACATGTGATCAGAAAGTGGTTTTTGAATTTTTGCAAAAATTAAACCAAAAAACCCTTGAACGCACCTCATCCAGATTCCAAGTCGAAACCATCTTGCACTATTTCAACTTTACAACCCAATCAATCGAGTGAGTCTTGTCTTTCTTATCAATCATGAACTTGACCATCAACATCAATTCAGATTTCTGATGATTTGACTTGATTTGACGTCTAGATTTCTATAGGATCTTACTCTTTTCAATCAACTTTAACCGGTCATGGTCACTTTAACCAATGGAAAACGATCAAAGACACAGAAGACCACCTCCGAAAAGTCGCATAAAGATTCCATGAAATCATTACCAGACAAAGAATCATCAGAATCTTCATCAAGTCAAGATTCAGATTCAGATAAAGAAAACGAAAATGGAAATGGAGATGAAGAACCACAACCACAAGAATCATTTGCAGATAGATTAAAGATATTAAAAATCAATCATGATACACCAGACCAATCATCAAACCAAACCCATCTAAGAATCCCAGTGAACTCATTGGCTCAAACTTTAATCCAAGCCTTAAATTCATCTGATCATCAATTATTAGAAACTTGTTTGATTCAATCTAACAAACAATTAATCTCAAATACGATTCAAAGGATTCCTACGGGACTTGTACATCATCTCATTGAACATTTGATCATCGGTTTAAATAAAAAGAGAGGTGGTGCTGGTGAAGGTTCAACCGTTTCGAGTGTACGTAGAACTAGAACTTTAATCGAATGGGTTAGACAACTCTTATTGGTTCATATGTCATATCTAATCACAGTTAGTACCTATTTCTATTCACCTCTACAAAAAAACACGGTCACATTGAACTAACATGATTTTTTAACATGACTAGATCCCAGAACTAGTTTCAAAGCTCACAATCCTTCATAGTTCATTACAAAAACGTTTAAACCTACACACAAAATTACTTTCTCTTAATGGACGTCTAGACCTGATCTTAAACCAAATCGAACGTAACAAATCTGGTAATCCTCAACTCGAACTTGGTCTTCCATCAAACAAAGAATCTTTTAACAGTACTAAGATTTCTAAACCTAATACGACTAAAGCCAAACAAAAATCACTTAAACCTCCCGTAAAGTATGTAGAGGGTGAAAGTACTGATGATGAAGATGAAGATGAAGTGATGGATCCTAAGAAATCTCAAGATGGTTCAGATGAAGATTCGGAAGATGATGGTAGTATAGAAGATGTAGTGCTCGGTAGCGAATCTGGTTCAGATGATGAGGACGGTAGTAGTGATGAAGACGATCTTCCTCAACGTAAAGCTCGTGGAAAAGTATCAGTTTCAGAGGGTTTGTTTGATTTAGAGGCTGAGCTAAGTGGAAGCGAGGAGGACGAGGATGATGAGGATGATGAGGATGACCAAGATGAGGATGATGAAGATATGGCAGATTTTATTGATGATGGATCAGGTGACGAAAGTGATGAAAGTGATTGATAGTTTGTCTTTATCTTTTCTATCAGTAAACTTGTTGGGATGGATTCGTACTATGTTCATGCAAGCAGTTCTTGAAGATGAAATTATGAAAAAGTACATTGGGTTTATCCGTCAACTCTCAGAGCGTAATACCTTTGCTTCTTCATGCACAAGATCCTATATACCTTGATTTGCTTGTCACTTCCCGGGGTTCATTCTCATTCTGATCACATCTATTTTTGTTTTGTGTATATGCTTGTCTTCTTTTTTCATCATGTGGCCTCTTGATGCCCCCCCATCGTCACTAATCACTTTTTCTTACCCTCTATTTACCTCAATATTTCTTGTTGCTTCAAGGGTGCCCAAAATGAATAGGAACAATGAGATAGACATTCATAGAGAGTTTTGATCTAAGAACTGCAGCAAGGTCGCGAGACTAGCACCCACTCCCTGGATTTGAAAGCAAGTGATCTTTTTTTGTCTCTGGCGCTGCTCCATTTATTTTGTGATTCAAGGAAGTCACTCGAGCCGAATCCAATGTGATGACCGAGGTATATTTTAATAATGCGCCCAATTGTCAACTTTCTTCCATCCTGCCAGTTTTATTACTGAAAGTATATCAGTCAAATGATTCACCTGTTGCTCAGGTCTCTTTGAACTGTTCAAATGCGAGCCCACAACTACTATCTGATGGCCCGTAGATATACCTAACCAAACAATATATTGATCATCACGTGAAATTATGTGTAGAACAATGTTCAGTCCCTCTTCAAGAGATATATCAAAAAGAAAAACAAAGTCACAAGTCATCTTTCTTTTTGAAACTTTTATTAAATTCTCTTCAACACACACAAAAATCAAGCAAAAAACAATAAAATGAAATATAAAAATACTTTCAAAAAAAATACTTAAAAACTTAAACCTCAATCCACACCAAAACATGAATTTTTCTTTTTGTTTTCTTCTTACTCACATATGTAAATATCTAAATACAAAAGAAAATTTTTCAATCATTTTTTTCATCATTACACATTAATTCAAAACATAATCTTTCTTTCTCACCAACCAAACTATCATCTTTTTTTTCACAACACTAAACCTAGCAAGAAGAAGAAGCCAAAAAAACAAAACACCAGCACTACTCCAAACCCCATCAAAATTTCCCATTTTTCCCATTTCACTTGATCGTTTTGTTTAATCTTAATTCAATAATTCAACAAAATTACTAGGTAATACATTCCCACCTCCATTCTTTCTTCTTCTAACTTCATCTAATAATTCTCCTTGCCACCATCCATCTGGATCAGTTTGAGTGATGGCAATCAGATCATTACTTTGAAATGAAAATTCTTCTGGCATCGTTGCATTATAATCATATAATGCTCTAACTGAATAAAGAAAAAATCAAAATCAAAATCAAAACATACACGTTCGAATCATTAGAATTGATTTATTTCTTTGATATACATAAAGATCAAAAGGAAAAACAAATCTAAACTTACCATAGAATAAGATTGGTGAACCATTTTCTGTATAATTACCAGTAGGTGATGGGTTTTGATTAGGTGCTGCAGGACTTGGAGTAGGAGGTGGTGGATGATGTGCCACAGGTGCTGACGTAGATTGTGGGGGATGATAGTATTGAGACTGTGGTGGTGGTGGTTGTTGTTGTTGCTGAACACCACCGCCATACATACTCGAAGTCCTTTGAACTCCACCTGTCGAATTCGGAGGGGGAGGATGTTGCTGTTGTTGTTGTTGAGGCTGACCAGGTGGTTGATAATATTGATGTTGAGGTGGAAAAGATTGAGATGGTGGTAAAGTGTAATGGGTTGGTGGAGCAACTGAAGGTGGAGGTGGGGCTTGATAATTTTGTGTAGGTGGTTGGCTTGCAGGTGGTGGTGCATATCCATAATGATGGTTAGTAGGCCGGGAGCTATAACTGCCCGGTGGACCTTGTTGATGTTGAGATAATTGATGTTGTGGTGGAGGCATCGATTGTTGACGCTGTGGAGAAGGTGGTGGAGCTTGATTGGAAGGTGGTGGCTGTTGTAGTGGTGGTTGTCGGAATGGTTCTTGATTTGATCCAACATAGGAGGCTGGCGAATTACTCATCATTGTATTATTCGGCTGACTTTGAGATTGACGATGATTGATTTGCTGTCCAAGTTTGGCACCTCGTGACGATGGTGGACCGGGAGAAGCGTTAGGGTCCATGACTCCACCTCGAGCATCAAGTGAGATTCCCAACGGCGGGTTTCTTGATGAGCCTGCATAGCTCAGAGGCATCGTTTGCTGACCTCCCATATGTGGATGTTGTTGCTGTTGATGTGGCGGTGGCTGAGATTGCGGATGCGAAGATTGTTGATAAGACATTCTCGAGCTAGGTCGAGCGGACGATGGAGTAGGGGATGGGGCTCTCGGATCGTAAGGATTATGAGGACCAGGACTGGTTGAACGTGCGTTATGAGTCCGAGGATCATATGGGGGTTTCATCATCGCAGCCGAAGGAGCAGGTGAGCTAGCTCGCTTGTACTGTTGAGCATTGGAGGCTGGTACGTCCATCGTTGAATTTCGTCGGTTTGCCTTGGGTGGAGCTGGACTTGTGGCACCACGTCTGATTGAGCCAATCGAAGGAGTCGTTCTCAACTTTTCCAAGGCTGCCACAAGAGGATCAACACTCCCATTTTCGGCCGGTACTGAGGGTGGGTGAATAGACCCCGGAGTCGCACTCCGTGAAGGGGGTCTGTGAGAAGGTGGTGGTAAATTATTTGGCACAGCAGAGTTTGTACTAGGGGGAGCAGGTCTTGAGCTGGAGCGCGGTTCGGGTGGTGCATATCGATTAGCTGGCTTTGCCGATGCCGGTGGTGGTGGTGGTGGAACAGATTGATCCCCATAAGCCGAGCCAGACTCATAATTGTATTGTTGAGACTGGTAAGAGCCTGATGCGGAAGGTGGTCGATTGGTCGGCGCACTCGCGGTGTGACGATGGTTGCCATTAGGAGCATTATTTCCGCCGCCCAGAACCTGTGCCATTGCTTCGGCTGGAGAAGCAGCCCTAGAGATCGAAGCGCCCATCGTTGATCGAGTCATTGAAGGCTTGGGAGTTAAGCCTGCTGATGAATCACCGGTGAAAGCGTTGGCTGCCACTGCATCAGCTATCGCCCCACCTCGTTTGGCGGCGGCCTTGGATGAAGCGCGAGCTGATGAAGGCGGAATAGTGTCTGTGGGAGAGGCAGGTCCTGAACGGATTGCATGAGCGAGATCTTGAATACTCGTAGTCGAGGGAACCAGACGTGGATTGCGGGTTGAAGAACGAATGAAATTAGCTGTAGAGGAAGGTGGTCGACCATAAGGCGTTTGTTCCCCTCGTGCGTAGTTCACATAATCCGGTGCAACTGTTGAAGATTTAAAAAGTTGGAATAGATTATCGAATCAACTAACATATATCACACTGAATCAAGAGACTAGATAAATAGAAAACGACAAACTATAGATATCACTCCCAGTTCTAGTCTGACGTGCAAATTCAGCGACATCATGGGATGTTTCACAACGCTCCAAAGCTTTCCTGATATTCTCGCATTGCTGAAAACAGGTTTAACTTCAACACGGGTGATAATTGTTTTTTTGGAGATTCATTTGGTTCTGATCCTACATACCTCATCATCAACGACACAAATTGTCGATACGCCATTAGCGAAATCCCAAAACGAAGTGCGAACAAAGTCTATACGATCTTCTTCTAAATCTTGTGATAACTGTAAACCATATTTCCAAAACACAAAACATATGGAAAATCAGGATCTCAATTAGTGGATTTGTCTTGATGATCATCAAACTCAATCACCTACATCACAATAAGCTTTCCACTGTAAGTTCCATTCAGCTGTGGTCTCCTTCAAATTTTTGACGTGTGCCCTATAATCCCGTTCTAAAGATCGGTATCAAACCATCAGATAAGACATGAGAAGTTTGTTCTAAGCCAAGATTGATAGATGATCTGAAGATGAACCGACCATTCACTTGAACGTTTTGCTGAGCTTTGTCTAATTTGGCTGAGACCTTATCATAGTCGCGACCTTGGACGAGATGAGTTTGAGCTGATAATCCGTTCACTGCAATCGCGTCGGCTTCATATTTCCTCCTAGACTTTAGATAATTGAGAGAGAATAAGTCGAATGATAGAATGATGGAGAGCTTTTTTTGAATGTTGTCAAGAGCTGAAAAGATACCTTTTCGGTGACTTCCATCAATTCAATCTTCTTTTTGTGTAACCGATCGATCAATCCCTGAGGCTGTAAATCAAAAAGATAACCAATTAGAAGGGTACTTTGATGGTAAGTCTTTGAGTATCACTAACGTTTTTCCTTAAACCATCTCTTCTGACCACAAAATCGGCCACTTTACGTTCTAATGCAGTTCGAACTGTACCGGCCAATTCAGCATGAGAATGAGCACTTTGTCTTGTAGTATCTCTAACGATTTCTAAAGCTTTTTTAATTCCTCCCACTTCACTTTCACAATCTGAATCAAGTAAAGGTGATTTAGTAAGCTTGGCTAATCGTTTGGCATAATCATCTTCAATTGAAGCTCTTTCTTTATACCATAATCTTAAATCTTCTAACATCTTTGAAGATTGACGAGTTTTAGTTTGTAATGCATCATAACCTGAATCACCCCAAAATGAATTACAAAATGCTAATGGATCAGGTTGAACTTGATGAGTTGATGAACTTGATTGATGAGTAGATGATCGACGTGAGGTAGAACGTGAATGAGATTGAGATTGAGAGCTTTGTCTATCGGTGTTTCGAGAAGTAGGACGAGACATTGAGAGTGATTGGCTATTCGTTAGCTTGAGAATAAGTTTATCGAGACTGCTTTGAGTGTTGATGGTATCTGATATCAGTGAAGGCTGTAAGTAGTCAATGTGGGTTATGTAGAAATCAGATTGGGGAAACTTAAGTTCTACACATGTCACAATCACACACCACAACTCAGCAATCACGTGATCCCCAACAACAACACGTCTGTCGCGTCTCACAAACAAGAATTCCATCTTCTCAACTAAAACTCTCAAATCAGTACTCATCACCACCCCATATTTATCTCTGGCCGAGTGAAGAAACTCTGATTCATCCTGGAAATATGCTCAGGTGATGTACACGCGGTTATCAAAGATCAGAAAGAAGCTTGAACAAAAAGAAGTTGAACAGATGGTATTCTCAAGGCTTAAGATCGTGAGTAATTAGTACATACTAGAGCTGATAGCGTACTTCTCTCAATGATATCTCCAAATGTGAGTTCATTTCATTATAAGGGTTCAAGAGATCAAAGAACTTCTTGCTTCCCATCTCACTGACGCTTATAACCCAAATACAATTCCACTTGTATTGAGAAAGCAATGTCACTATTTAGAAAACTACTGAACAAAGACAGTCATGCACGAGAATCGATACATCTAAATCCTACGCAAAGAGGTATGTGAAACCGCATGACAATAATCACATCATGGGATTAAAAGTCATTACATTGCTTACTGTGTCGTTAAAAGTTCCTCCGCCAAATCCACATCTCAAGTCTCAGAGAATTAACCCTGTCTTTGTAATCCGACCATGAATACTGGGAGCATCGTACCATCTTTCACGACCAATTTTTGATCAACTTTCTTTATAAAAGATATATGATTGAAAGATCAGTTGAGTGTTAGGTTATCATCAAAAGATGCATACAATCCAAATACACCAGTGCCACGCCAGCCAGTAGATGATGATCTTCACAATCCGAGCTGCCAGGGAATCCAACGTAGCTGAAGATCTGGTCATAGGATTTATTGATTTGCTCTTGAATCAAGACAGACGGCTGGCTGTAAGGTAGAAAGATATTGTTGAGAAATGTTAAAAAAATCTGAATCATCAACTTAATTGGATACAATCATACATACTTCTTACGAACTCCCCATGTGGATTGGTCGCTAGCAAGTGGCATAACCTGTTTTAAAGGCATCAATTGAGTCCAGCTGAGCAAGTCAGGTTATACTCACTCTGCATAAGCACGGAAAACGGCATATGCTAGAAAAGGTGGACTACACAGGGCCGTAGCAGCACAATGTGGAATCGTGTGAAAAAAGATGTTGATCAGTAAGACAAAGTATCAAGATTGATTACTTTGAAATCAAGATATAGGAGGCTAATAAGTTTTTGACCGCCGTAACGCAGTGATTTGCATTCGCACGTGTGCATTTCCTTCTTTCCAATCATATCAGGTCACTTTACCCAGACTAAAACACAGCAAGGGACTTATTTAGTTGAGACCTTGTCGAGGTTAGTTGATTCAAAACTTACAACTATGTAGACCACAATCAGTTTTCTTTCTCACTGTTCGTGGTTTTCTTTTGGTTTGGTGACTTTTGTTGGTTAATTGAGCCAAAATCCTCATTCCAAGTCTTTATGTTATAGACTTGGTAACTATCAAAGTAACACTTCCAAGTGTCTTTACAATTTAGGTAGTTCTTCTTCCCTTAATCATCTGTAATCCTGCTGTTTGCTTGCGTGTTTTGATATTGTTTTGTCTTAAACATGCAGGCTCAGCTGAAGGTATTGTTTTGAGGGGATATGAGTAGGCTTCTGCCAGAAGTGTGATATCAGACATTGGATAGGTGTGAATTTCATATTTCGTATATCCGAATTCTATTGAGCAGTCTTCATCACTATTGAAAAAATTGATGAACAAAGACAATCATCCAAGAGAAGTGAAAAAAAATTGGAGTAGATCAGATGTTTAAACAACTTTCCATTATAGTTTAGCCTATGAAAAAAAGATAATTGGAACACTATAACACAAGTTGGATCATGGTATTTTAGATTCCTTATCCTCCTTGATCGAAAACTTGCTTTGTCAAAGTAGCGTTACAAGCCATACACGCGTCACCCTGTCCTGACATTGTTGACATAAGGAAGGGTGAATAATAGGTACCAGGTTTCGGAACATGATCTGGATCCGTAAGTTGCTATACATACAGAAATATTGTTGGAAGATCAGTTGAGCGTTGAGCCATTATCAAATCAAATGTGAGTTCAAACGTACCACACCCTCTGGTAATACATAATTGTCGCAATTTGGGGAACCATCATACCCCTTGCCGGCGAACTTCGCGTTATAGCCTGAATTCATTTCGGGCTGAGTCAACTTAGGCGGCAGAATGTTACCCTGTTTGCTGTAAGGTAGAAAAATTGGTTGATAAGTGTTAAAGATCTCAAGATATAAAATCGAATGTCTTCAAAGATACATACTCATGACGACCTGCCAGTGGCTTTTCTTTGCCATCAAGTGGATAGACCTTTCGAAAAGACGTCGATTGAGTCTGGTTGAACAAGTCATGACACTTCAGATAAATGTTTGAATAGACTTACTACACAAGTACGGCAAATGGCACATGGTGGGTAACTCGGCTCATACAGGAACGCGATAGCACTGTTCGAAATCGGTTTGATAAATCATGTTGATCAGTAAGCAGAGGTCTCAAAACCGAACACATTGAAATCAGGATAATGGAAGACATTGGTTTTAGGAAATGATGACTGACTCATAGCAGTCAGCCGCAAATCCTGATAGACGAAGTGTGGCGGTAATAAAGCAGGTCATCATCCCTGGTAATACTGGGGCTTGCCTCTTCTCATGTTTCCTTTTTACAAAAGAAGTCGAGCCGGGATCTTTTTCGAATCCGGAGGATCGCGCAGACAATGTGTCATGGTTGTTGGGTTGACCAAAGATGACAAGGACTTGCGAAAGGATGATAATTGCTATGATGGTTTTCATATTTAGAGATAAGGAATATAGATCATTATTTTGGAACGGAGGAACAGGATTTTATAAGATGTTGATGTCAATTGCCAGTCTCCAGAATATGTGTAAGGTAAGAAAGGAAACTGGTGGTACACTGGTCGACACGTAGGTTTTGAATCAACCAACCTCGGCAAAGTCGTGTCTCTCTCATGGTGTTCCTTGCACAGACAGAAATAAACTCAACTACAGCTCCAATCACTCCCCATCACTCCCCATCACTCCCCTAACTTAAAGGAAGGAGGGGAGCAACTTCCTCGGGAAAAAAAACAGTGTACAGTCGATCTCAGAAATGTGGAAAAAG